CTTTTCATTCTTTTCTTTCTTTCTGTCTCCTTTTTTTCTTTTCTTTCTTTCTTTCTTTTTCTTTTCTTTCTTTCCTTCTTTCTTTTTTCTGTCTCACTTTTCATTCTTTCTTTCTTTCTGTCTCCACTTTTTTCATTCTTTCTTTCTTTCTGTCTTTCTTTCTTTCTTTCCTTCTTTCTTTCTGTTCTTTTCATTCTTTCCCTTTTCTTTCTTTCTTTCTTTCTTTCTTTCTGTCTCACTTTTCATTCTTTTTTCTTTCTTTCTTTTCTTTCTTTTTCTGTCCTTTTCATTCTTTCTTTCTTTCTTTCTTTTCATTCTTTCTTTCTTTCTGTCTTCTTTCTTTCTTTCTTTCTTTTTTCATTTTTTCTTTTCTTTCTGTCTGTCCACTTTTCATTCTTTCTTTCTTTCTGTCTCCACTTTTTCATTCTTTCCTTCTTTCTTTCTGTCTCCACTTTTCATTCTTTCTTTCTTTCTTTCTTTCTTTTTCTGTCTCCACTTTTCATTCTTTTTCTTTCTTTCTTTTTGTCTCACTTTTTCTTTCTTTTTTTCTTTTGTCTCCATTTTTTTTCTTTCTTTCTTTCTTTCTGTCTCCACTTTTCATTCTTTCTTTCTTTCTGTCTCCACTTTTCATTTCTTTCTTTCTTTTGTCTCCTTTTTCATTCTTTTCTTTCTTTTTCTTTCTGTCTCCACTTTTCTTTCTTTCTTTTCTTTCTTTCTTTCTTTTTCCATTCTTTCTTTCATTCTTTCTTTCTTTCTTTTTTCTTTCTTTTTCTTTCTGTCTCCACTTTTCATTCTTTCTTTCTTTCTTTTCTTTCTTTCTGTCTCCACTTTTCATTCTTTCTTTCTTTCTTTCTTTCTTTTCCTTTTATTTTTTCTTTCTTTTTCTGTCTTTCTTTTCATTTTCTTTTCTTTCTTTCTCTTTCTCCACTTTTCATTCTTTCTTTCTTTCTTCTCCACTTTTCATTCTTTCTTTCTTTCTTTCTTTTGTCTCTTTCATTCTTTTTTCTTTCTTTTTTCTTTCTTTTTTCTTTTTTCTTTTTTCTTTTCATTCTTTCTTTTCTTTCTTCTCCACTTTCTCTTTCTTTTCTTTCTGTCTTCTTTTCTTTCTTTCTTTCTTTCTGTCTCCACTTTTCATTCTTTCTTTCTTTCTGTCTCCCTTTTCATTCTTTCTTTCTTTCTTTCTTTCTTTCTTTCCTCCCTTTTCATTCTTTTCTTCTTTTTTTCTTTCCCACTTTTCATTCTTTTCTTTCTTTCTTTCTTTCTTCTCTTTTTCTTTCTTTCTTTCTTTCATCTTCTTTTCATTCTTTCTTTCTTTCTGTCTCCACTTTCATTCTTTCTTTCTTTTCTGTCTCCACTTTTTTTCTTTCTTTTTTCTTTCTTTCTGTCTCTTTCTTTTTTCTGTCTTTCTTTCTTTCTTTCTGTCTCTTTTCATTCTTTCTTTCTTTCTTTCTTTCTGTCTCCACTTTTCATTCTTTCTTTTCTTTCTTTCTCTTTTTTTCATTCTTTCTTTTTTCTTTCTGTCTCCACTTTTCATTCTTTCTTTCTTTCTTTCTTTTTCTGTCTCCACTTTTCATTCTTTCTTTCTTTCTGTCTCCACTTTCATTCTTTCTTTCTTTCTGTCTCCACTTTTCATTTCTTTCTTTTCTTTCTGTCTCCACTTTCTTTTTCTTTCTTTCTTTCTTTCTGTCTCCCTTTTCATTCTTTCTTTCTTTTTTCTGTCTCCACTTTTTTCATTCTTTTTTCTTTCTTTCTTTCTGTCTCCACTTTTCATTCTTTCTTTCTTTCTTTCTTGGTCTCCACTTTTCATTCTTCTTTCTTTCTTTCTTTCTTTCTGTCTCCACTTTTCATTCTTTCTTTCTTTCTTTCTTTTCCACATTTTTTTCTTTCTTTCTTTCTTTCTGTCTCCACTTTTCATTCTTTCTTTCTTTTCTTTCTGTCTCCACTTTTCATTCTTTCCTTTTTTTCTTTCTTTCTTTTCTGTTCCACTTCATTTCTTTCTTTCTTTCTTTCTGTCTTTCTTTTTTCATTTCTTTCTTTTCTTTCTTTCTTTTCTGTCTCCACTTTTCAATTTTCTTTCTTTCTTTTCTTTCTGTCTGTTTTCATTCTTTCTTTTCTTTCTTTCTTTCTTTCTCCACTTTTCATTTTCTTTCCTTTCTTTCTTTCTGTCATTCTTTCTTTCTTTCTTTTCTTTCTTTCTTTCTTTCTGTCTCCACTTTTCATTCTTTCTTTCTTTTTCTTTCTGTCTCACTTTTCATTCTTTTTCTTTCTTTTCCTTTCCACTTTTCTTTCTGTTCTTTCATTCTTTCTTTCTTTTCTCCACTTTTTCATTCTTTCTTTCTTTCTTTCTTTATTTCTCCACTTTTCATTCTTTCTTTCTTTCTTTCTGTTTACTTCTCCATTCTTTCTTTCTTTCTTTCTTTCTTTCTTTCTTTTCATTCTTTCATTCTTTCTTTCTTTCTGTCCAGTTTTCATTCTTTTTTTCTTTTTTCTTTAAATCTTTAATTTTTTCATTCTTTCTTTTTCTTTCTGTCTCAAAAACTTTTCATTCTTCTTTCTTTCTGTCTCCCTTTTCATTCTTTCCTTCTTTTCTTTCTTTCTGTCCACTTTTCATTCTTTTCTTTCTTTCTGTCTCCTTTTCTTTTTTTCTTTCTTTCTTTGTTGTCTCCACTTTTCATTCTTTCTTTCTTTCTTTCTGAATGTTCTTTTGTTGAGATCTTTCATTCTTTTCTTTCTTTCTGTCTCCTTTTTTCATTCTTTTCTTTTCTTTCTTTCTGTCTCCACTTTTTTGATTCTTTCTTTCTTTCAAATGAATCTGTTTTTTTTTTTCTTTCTTTCTGTCTCCATAGATCTGTTCCACTTTTCTTCCAATGGAATCTGTCTCTTTCTGTTGATGAATCTCTTTTTTCATTCTTTTTCATTCTTTCTTTCTTTCTGTCTCCACTTTTGTTTCTTTCTTTCTTTCTTCTTTTGACAATTCTGTCTCCACTTTCTTCATGAATCTGTCTCCACTTTTGTTGATCTTTCTGTCTCCACTTTTTTGTTTGATGAATCTTTCTTTCTTTTGTTTCTTTCTGTCTCCACTTTTCATGATGAATCTGTCTCTTTTTGTTGATGAATCTGTCTCCACATCTGTTCCACTTTGTTGATGAATCTGTCTCCACTTTTGTTGATGAATCTGTCTGATTCTGTTTTTGTTGATGTCTCCCTTTTGTTGATGAATCTGTCTCCACTTTGAATCTGTCTCCACTTTTGTTGAATCTGTCTCCACTTTTGTTGATGAATCTGTCTCACTTTTGTTGATGAATCTTTCTTTTGTTTGATGAATCTGTCTCCACTTTTGTTGATGAATCTGTCTCCTTTTTGTTGATGAATCTGTCTCCACTTTTGTTGATTCTTTCCACTTTTTTGATGAATCTGTTCCACTTTTGTTGATGAATCTGTCTCCACTTTTTTTGATGAATCTGTCTCCACTTTTTTGATGAATCTGTCTCCACTTTTGTTGATGAATCTGTCTCACTTTTGTTGATGAATCTGTCTCCACTTTGTTGATGAATCTGTCTCCACTTTTGTTGATGAATCTTTCTCACTTTTGTTGATGAATCTGTCTCCACTTTTGTTGATGAATCTGTCTCCACTTTTTTGTTGATGAATCTGTCTTTTTTGTTGATGAATCTGTCTCCACTTTTGTTGATGAATCTGTCTCCACTTTTGTTGATGAATCTGTCTTTTGTTTGAATCTGTCTCCACTTTTGTTGATGAATCTGTCTCCACTTTTGTTGATGAATCTGTCTCCACTTTTGTTGATGAATCTGTCTCCACTTTTTTGTTGATGAATCTGTCTCCACTTTTTCATTCTTTGTTGATGAATCTGTCTCCACTTTTGTTGATGAATCTGTCTCCTTTGTTGATGAACTTTTGTTGATGAATCTGTCTCCACTTTTGTTGATGAATCTGAATCTGTCCACTTTTGTTGATGAATCTGTCTCCACTTTTGTTGATGAATCTGTCTCCACTTTTGTTGATGAATCTGTCTCCTTTTGTTTTGAATCTGTTTCACTTTTGATGAATCTGTCTCCACTTTTTGTTGATGAATCTGTCTCCACTTTTGTTGATGAATCTGTCTCCTTTTGTTGATGAATCTGTCTCCACTTTTGTTGATGAATCTGTCTCCACTTTTTTGATGAATCTGTCTCCTTTTGTTGATGAATCTGTCTCCACTTTTTGTTGATGAATCTGTCTCCACTTTTGTTGATGAATCTGTCTCTTTTTGTTGATGAATCTGTCTCCACTTTTGTTGATGAATCTGTCTGAACTTTTGTTGATGAATCTGTCTCCACTTTTGTTGATGAATCTGTCTCCACTTTTGTTGATGAATCTGTCTCCTTTTGTTGATGAATCTGTCTCCACTTTTGTTGATGAATCTGTCTCCACTTTTTGTTGATGAATCTGTCTCCACTTTTGTTGATGAATCTGTCTCCACTTTTGTTGATGAATCTGTCTCCACTTTTGTTGATGAATCTGTCTCCACTTTTGTTGATGAATCTGTCTCCACTTTTTTTGATGAATCTGTCTCCACTTTTGTTGATGAATCTGTCTCCACTTTTTTGTTGATGAATCTGTCTCCACTTTTGTTGATGAATCTGTCTCCACTTTTGTTGATGAATCTGTTCCACTTTTGAATCTGACTTTTTGTTGATGAATCTGTCTCCACTTTTGTTGATGAATCTGTCTCCACTTTTGTTGATGAATCTGTCTCCACTTTTGTTGATGAATCTGTCTCCACTTTGTTGATGAATCTGTCTCCACTTTTGTTTGAATTGTCTCCAATTTTGTTGATGAATCTCCACTTTTTGTTGATGAATCTGTCTCCACTTTTGTTGATGAATCTGTCTCCACTTTTGTTGATGAATCTGTCTCCACTTTTGTTGATGAATCTGTCTCCACTTTTGTTGATGAATCTGTCTCCACTTTTGTTGATGAATCTGTCTCCACTTTTGTTGATGAATCTGTCTCCACTTTTGTTGATGAATCTGTCTCCACTTTTGTTGATGAATCTGTCTTTTTGTTGATGAATCTCCACTTTTGTTGATGAATCTGTCTCCACTTTTGTTGATGAATCTGTCTCCACTTTTGTTGATGAATCTGTCTCCACTTTTGTTGATGAATCTGTCTCCACTTTTGTTGATGAATCTGTCTCCACTTTTGTTGATGAATCTGTCTCCACTTTTGTTGATGAATCTGTCTCCACTTTTGTTGATGAATCTGTCTCACTTTTGTTGATGAATCTGTCTCCACTTTTGTTGATGAATCTGTCTCCACTTTTGATGAATGAACTTTTGTTCTTGAATCTGTCTCCACTTTGTTGATGAATCTGTCCACTTTTGTTTTTCTGTATTTGGTGAATTTGGGTTCATGTCAAGTCTGTCAGTTCTTGAATGACATGTTTCATGTTTGAAAAGATGTCAATTTGGATAAAATGTTTCAAATAAAGTCTGTCAAAAAGTGTTTGCTTGGAACATTTATTCTTTTTTAATTAGCTGTCTCAAATATGGCACCAGGCTGATGTCTTTTTTATATATTTTGTTCTATACCTATGTACTTATGAAAAGAAATTAAAGTTTTGAGGAAATGTTTTAGCCATATCATATTAAGTGTATTTCTTTCATATTACTTAAAATTATAGAAGATAGCAGCTATAATATGACATCCAAGCCAAGTTGTACCAATTTCTACTTTTGTGCATTGCTTTTTTATCCAGAGCTTTGATTATACTGTTGCAGGTTTCCAAGTGACTAGGACAAGCACCAGTTTGCTAGCTCTCAAAGAGAACTAGCCATATTATTGGTTTCAAAAGTTTTCACAGGGCTGCCTGTCCTATCTAACATCCAACTCAAATCTTTGCAACATTTGAGAAATCTGCCCTTCCTACACCTGGGTTGTGTGCCTCACCATTGTCCACATGGGATGAACTATCCACTGAACCACTGTGGCAACTATACCAGGACATCCATTTGTTGAAGACTGCCACCAAAGCCTACTACCACCCAGGCTGTGGCAAGACTTATTTTCACTATAAAATGCATTTCCACATCTTTACAGTGCTTGACCCCAGTTTGGGGGGGTTAACTATTTATTCATAGCTGGGACCCTAATGAGTGTTACCACCCCGGGTCAAGTTAACCTGGGAGCAACAGCAATTAAGGTGGTTCCATGCCCCTCGAAATCTCCAATCTCCCAATCAGAGGCCTTACTGCCAGATGCAGTTTATCAACATACCCAGAACAAGGATAATGAAAAAGGAGGGCTTGAAACCAACATTAAGCCCCAGTGTACATGACATGCCAGAGAGGGTACACAGTAAGCCTGATAACATGTAAATACCAGAAACTAGCCCAAATTAAATATTACCAAATAAATAATCTGAAAGGATTCTTTAGTAGGGTAAATCTGGATAAATTTTTAAAAGAAACACACCTATTTACCAAAATCTGAAAAAAATCTTAACTTTTAATATAGGTACTGTTTATAAATACAAAAAGTAAATAATAGTTTTGACATAACTATAATGTTAAAAAAAACATGACTTAATTTCACTATGAAATAATGATACACAAAATATAAAATCTCAACCCTACTTGCTCATGAGAGGAGTTGATATGCCATTAAACAAAACAAAAGAAATATAAAGCAATGTTAGTATAATTTGTGGCATTCTGAAGTTTCAAGAAATTAACAGAATCCAATTCCTTAAATTTGGAATGCCAAAAATTATGTTAATATTGGTTTAACGAATTAAATTCACATGAAGCATGATTGACCAATCAAAATCAAACCACACAAAAGTAAAAATACAGTAATTTCTTTCTTTCTTTTTCTGCCTATCTCATTCTCTTATGGAGCTTTAATAAAAGTGAAATCTATTAGACTGATAAACATTCTCTTATTTGTTCTTTATTTTATCATATTCTTGTTATAGATTTTTAAATTATAAAAAACCCTGAAAAATTGACCTATATTACTGATGTTAATCTATAGAGAAAGGCTTACAATAAACTATTAATTCATTCTCAGTTTTCTCCTATAGAACTCTATATCAAATCTGGATCAAAGTAAAAAATAAAAATAAAAAATCTACATTTGACATTAAATGACCCAACAATTATATATAAAAATATACAGCGTGAAACACCATAACACACACCATAAGAGTTGAATAAATGCTTTCCAAGTTTATAGAATGTGTCAGTTATATGCTGTTTTTAGGAATATGTTTGAGCACTCATCCCCGTCACAATAACGACCATTGAATCTCTGCAATATCATCTTCTAACTTTTTGAGTCTCTAATCAACAAAAACAATCTCCTGAACTACAAACAGTATGGATTTTTATTGTTCTCTCTGTTTAATGTTTTTCTTTTTGCTAATATTTTATTTCACACTCAGCAATCCCTTGCATCTTAGTGGATTTATTGCCTTGCTTGTGGTTGAAATGATTTAAAAATAAAACAAAAATTGTCTATATTCAGAATACACCTCCTTCATTTTAAAATCTGATCAGTTAAAATATTGATTATTTTTGTTGATTTCTTTTTTTTTTTCTCTTCCCAGGTGCTAACTGTACATTTAATTCTATTGGTTCACAAGATTTGTCTTCCCCGACTCTTTTTAAGGACTTTACTGAAGAACAATGTAGAAAACAATGTGAATTGAATGAGACTTGCAGGATTTTCGCTTACATTAAGCCTTTGTCAAAATGTCATACCAGTAATATACTAAAATATACTCAGGCTAGCGGTTTTCAGACATACACAAAAACTGCACATATACTCCATGTAAGTATTTTAAATAATTTACAGGAATTAAGAAGAGAGAAGTTAACGATTTTCATTGTATTTAACCTTTTGAAATTCAAACTTAACTGGAAAGCAAGAAGACGGAAGAGAATTCACAATTGAGGAGTGTGAGGAAAACATAGAACTTAGAGGGACAACTTGAA